TGGGTAAACTGCAAACTCGTTTTTATCTCCTGTATTTCTCTGGTCATGTCGTCGAGTCTCTTGTTATTTGTCTCCATAAGTAGTTGCACAAAACCTTTGAAGTTGTCTTGTTGTTGGCTCAACAGTGCGGTGTACATCTGCTTCTGCTGACTCAACATCTCTGTTACTTGCGCCGCTGAAATATAATCCTCTTCTGCTTCAACATCCTCGTTTGCTTCTGATTTATTAGCTCTTTTCCCTCTTGGAGGCATTTTAATAGTTGTAGAATTTGTTCAAAGACTTGAAAATGTAGAAGATGTGAAAAATCGTAGAACAGACAAGAGGAGCAGTAAAGACGTCTGCTCTCGCTTGCAACCCGGATGTTTCTGATTGATGAACTGTGAGAAAATAGAAGGGAATTGCAGCATTGTTTGGTCATGATAAGGGGTGTTTTAAATAGCTGCAGGCTCATATTTAATAGCTGTTCACTGAATGGCACATTCACTGGATTTTTAGCTGTCACTTGCAGCACTATACAAGCTTAGCTGATACTGACATGTGAGGTTAATCATGCTATTTCAGCTAGACAGTAGTGTAATGAGGGTTCTAATGGTGCTTCCAAAGTGTTTAACATTTAGGGGGGTATTTATTGATATTTGCTCTTAGACATCACTGTCAGGTGCAGAAAATATTGCAGCACTGCTATTTTTTGTTTGTCAAAAAATGTCATAGTATATATAATAATTTCAGTGCTTATGTATGGAAAGTGTCCTATGCGTATGTACAAATATTTCCAGGAAAACGTCAACCTCAACTCTGAGATTGTAGTTCCACCAGATAAATAGTCTATCTTTAATCAGTTGCACATACTGTGTCTGCGCTGGTGAAAGCTGTGCCCAGAAGCATTACTATATGTTTTTGAGTTGTCCATCCATCCCATTCTCATAAACACAATCTCTGTAACACCTTGAGCAAATTTCTTCAAAATCAGCACATACATCTATTTAGATTCAAGGATGAACTGATTAGATCTTGGTGGTCAAAGATCAAAAGATAAAGGTCACTGTAACCGTTTGTCCATCCCATTCTTTTGAACGCCATATGGCAGGAACACCTTGATGGATTCTTTTCATACTTGGCACAAATAACCCAAGGTGAACCTGACTGGTTAGGAGAGGCACACAACCACAATGCAGTTATTAATTAGATGTTGCAGACAGTCATCAGTAAAATGTGCTGGACACAAGCACAACCACTTGGCAATAATGGTGGGTATATCATCTCCAATAATGAATTTCAGCTATCTTTAATGTAAATTTCCATCCTCTGGAGGGGCATGTAAAGAATTTGTCACAGCTGAGCAGCCAGCAAAAGCATATGTCCAATATCCTGCTTTGCCCCTCAGATGGCTGCAATAGAAACTCCAACTACAGAAGTTAAATATGCACACAGCATAGTCACTCTGCACTTGTGGGCTGATGCTAATGCTTTCTAGCATATTAGATTTGACTTTTGACTGTGGTGCATTTATGGGTAACCCCTCAAAACCACTCACTCTTGAGGCAGGAATTTAAAATTTTAATCATTTAAGATAACTTAAAAAGAGTGTGGAGATAGAATTTTGTCATTTTCACAGCATAAATAGAACAAACGATACCCACCCTTCAATATTAGATTTTGATTTGAACAAAACTGGTGTTAGTGTCACCATATGTGTGACAGGCATCTGTAAGACTTTCAGGTAATTTTTTTAGAATTACAGCTAAGCTAACATTACTACTTTTTCCCACCTGGCTGCTCATCAATTTTGGTTTGAAGGATATGACTTAAATATGGCATTACCTTAGTTCTTAAGACACACTGAAAGTTTTCTAAGCAGTGAAGGATTATTGCCAACATTGCTGCTGTGCTCGAGTTTGGTTTTAGTTCTTCTAGTTCTGGTTTTTGAGTTGTATAGAAAGTCCAGGTAAAATATCTGAGTTCATTTTACACTGTTCCAACAGTTCACCAACAAGTTGCAAACTTGCATTTTTGAAAAGAAATAAAGGAAAAGCAGCATCAGTTTCAGCAGAACCACAGGCATTCTTTGACATATATTTATAAGACCTCATTCTACCACTTTCATCACTTTCATAATGCTGTGCCATTGAATACACTGCAAACCTTTAATGCTGAATTACCATATACATATTTTGTAGAGGCTTTTTTGCATGAAAAGTGTCTTCATGCCAAGTGCAAAGGTTCAGTGATGTGTTAGTAAGTGGTATGTTTTGACATCCAGTCCCTGTACACACTCCAAAGGCTAAAAGCAGTTTTTTGAGCAATTTCAAAACCGTGTCCCAGATGGCTTATGTGTTGTCACAGCTGGTGAAAGTGTGGATCTGACAGTTTCAATAACACAAATCCCTAAAAGAAATGCAACCTACTTAACAAAAATCCATATGACATCTGTAAAATTTGTTGCACTATTTGGAATTTTAATATGACAGTACAGTAGATTACTGTTAAGGCTGGATGATGTGATGACAACAATGTTATTTATTGACTCATTAACTTGCTAATTTAACTCTGCATTGGAGACTTGATATCTCATATAAAGAGAACTTTTACAATGGCACATTACCCCACACATCAGTCCAGCCACATGTCTTAAAAAGGCAGGAGCAAATTATAAATCAAAGGAAAAAGTAATAGTAGTAAATGAAGTCTTAATTTTAGAAAACCACAAGAACACTGGTTTGAGTTGGAGGACTCTCCAGTCATCTGAACAATGGTTTTAACTGTTAAATTATATCTAAGTATCAGTGATGGTTATTTGAGGTACCATGAGAAGCCCTAAAAATGAATGAAATTACTTATCAAACTAATTAATGATTTCAGTACATTGGCACATGAGTAATATTTTACTGATTAAAGACACTCGGTCTACTTTACGTCATGACTCTTGAGAGCTCCGAGCTCCAGCTCTGGTTATTGTACAGGGGAATCAGCTTGGCACATCAGCACCTATCAAATGCAGCCAGTGTACTCACTCTATATATATACTGTGGTTACAATTTGTGTTATCATAAACATCTAAATGACAAGGTCCGCGATATGCTAGATGGCAAGTGAACAGTCAGTTTTCATGGGCAGCATTTTGGATGTTGTAAAGCAAAACAATTTTTACAAGGATCCAATCAATATGGACAGAGAAAGGGGTCAGACAATCACCAAAGCAACAAGGTCGTGGGGTGCCCACTGTCAGCAGTGGTGAACACCTACTGACAGTGGGCTGTGGAGGGATAAACCAGGAACTGATGACATGAGAGGTGTGCTTCAACCAGTCTGATTAACCTTAAA